CATTATTTAATCAGTCTAATTTTATCCTATTTTACCAGCTTTGCTTTCAGGACTTAATCCGCAAGCTTTATAAAGCATAATCTACTTTTAGTAATCCTTTTTTGCATATTTGATCCATTTTTAAAGCCGTTAATTTGCATTTTGATCTAGTCACTATCCTGGTTAAAAGTATATTAATTGACCAATGACCCTTTTCTGAAAGGTGTGAGTATTTTAAAACAACGTTTGATTTTTGCATTTCGGTAATATTTATTGGTCATTTGCTTTATGTACTTTTGAAAACAGCAATTCCCGTTTTACTCCTTCATGAAACCTTGCAAATTTTGATTGACTACCTTAAGCCAATGAAAGATTTGGTTGGGTGTTTGCGCGTTGTTGTTAGAATTAATCTTCCTCTTGTTCAATCTTTATTCAATGTTGGGCATAAAAACCACAGAATCGAGATTTTTTACGCCGGTAATATATTTGACCTTGCTTTTCTTAGATTTAGATTGGTCATTTCATAGCAATTTTGTTAACTTGTGGGAATATTTTGGAAAATTAGCCATCTTCGGAAATGCATACATTGTGTTGTGATGCACTGTAAGAGAGATGATAGGGGATAATAGTGGGCGAATGACAATTTTTTCAAGGCATTCGTGCGGCCCCGTGTTCCCAATACCCCTGCTTCGTAACTGTTGCCCAATGTATCGACGATATTAATTTGATATTTCTTATCAATTTGCCATTCTAAGATTCTCTTTATGGGATGTTTGGTCTCGGTGCCTGTGGTCAGAATGTAGTTGCTGTAGTAAAAGGATGTAGTCAATTGATGTCGTTTCTTAAACTCGATATTTTGAAGTCGACCTTCTTCACGTGTGCAGTAAGAGTTGATGTCTATTTCTAGAATGTCCTGTAATATTGTTTTTTTTTTTTGTTGCTTTAATAGGAACCATGATGGTATCCTATTGGCTGTTCTCGGTTTTGTTAGTAATCGGTTGTATTGAGGGGCAAAAGGGTAATGAAAGCTTGCTTTCCGTATTTCTTTTGGCCCGACATGGTGAAAGATACCCCTGTCACAGCCTTCGCCATCCTACTTATCCGAAAGAATTTGTGAAAATGCGTTGTCAGTTGACCGAAATCGGAGCAAAGCAACATTTTGAATTGGGGAAGTTTATTCGAAGACGTTATTCGAGCTTTTTAAAATGGGAAGGATTCAAGCGGGTAGGCGTCATGTTCTTGATGGTGTGATTGTTAAGCTTGGTCGTCCAAACTAGAATTGCCAAAATATATTCGAAAAATTTATTTGTACAGATGTTCCAATCGTAAAACTGTCTTCTTTATGTCCAGCATTATTCAAGAGAGTGCATGCAGAAATTTTTGATAGGCTCACTTAATATCCGCGCCATTGTCATTTGATGATGTGACGTTTAATCCTTGCCTAATCTACTTGTTTGACATAATGCCAATGGTTACTAAAGCTGTAGATACTATCACACATCTGGAGTCTTTGATTGGGATGTTGAGTATCGTCGGCTGCATTTTCCCCACAAGATGTCTTTATTGCTATATCTTAGTCTGCTGTATACCATTTAGACCTTTGAGCGCATACGTTTGGAGGCTAAAATTTCGACTAATTCTTGGCTGATTTCAATTGCGATTAGGATTTTTATTGTTAGAACTATGTCCACATTCGAAGCACGGGAACCGAAAGAACGATTCTCTCCGCTACTTACTTTGGTCTTGGTCTCAATTTCAACGCGGAGGTTGAGTTGCCAATCCTGCCAGCTGTTTTCTCCTCTCCGAAGCGTTATGATTATCTTCTCAAAATGTCCTATCCATGTCCAGCATTTAACAAGCTTTTTAAAAAAGCTCTCAATTCCAACCTTACTAGAGATTTCGCTGAAGGCGTACGAGTACTTTTCGAGGATCTCAAGAACCTTACTGGTGGGTTGGGACATACTTTCCAAGAGCCAGTATTAATAGTTGTTGGGTTGACGTTTGAAGGTTATCTTGACAATTCATGACCTTTCAAATTCACGCGGTACTAATTGGCATCGCCACTTACCACCGTCTATAAGGTTATAGTACTTTTCCCGCGATAGCGGATATTTAGAACCAGAGTTATCTCATTGAGACACCTATTCTTGGATGCACTGTTACGTTTGTATATTAAGAAGTAGTGTTACCTCATTTTGTAGAAGGTGCTCTTTCCAGGTTTTTTTTTAAATTCTACATCATCTACAAGCACTCTTTGTGTTTACATGCAACGCATCATCAAAACCAAAACCTCACTGACTTTAAAACTTACGACTAATGTTTGGTTATTTCATATTTTCAAACTTGAGAATTCGCACCTTGAATTGCCGAATACCTGGCCACATGAAATTTCTGAGGCTATCGCTTTCATTTTCTGCAGAATTTAGTTTTGAATCTGATTCCTTGCACAAATACCTCCCCGAGTTATGGAAATTGTGTGAATCGATATATACGTGGGACAATTTGGAGCGTGCCACAAAAGGAGAGTCCCTTCCTTTTAGTTCTGATCTTGCCTCAGCTTGCCACCGAGCACTGAGCTTTAGGCAACAGCTGCGTTTCTCCACACCCGCCCAAACTTTTCTTCGTGGAGGTCCTCTTTGGCGACACGTTCTCCTCACACTGAAGCGCCAAACCTCGTTTGGTGAGAGGGGCACCCCACGTTTCGAAACCGAAGATATTGATGACATGGATATCCCAATTACCAGCGAATCTCGTTTATTTGCTTATTTTGCTCATGATTCTACCCTAACGGCCTTCTTGAGCCACCTGGGTGTATTTAACAAGTAGGTGCTTACCGCGACTGCTTTTTTGATGATACCAATGTGACGATTTTAATACTGAAGCAAATGACTCGTTAAATCATGCTCAATTTCACCTACTTTGACAACTGAAAAGGTCAAGCTAGTGCGTTGTACCATGTTATGCCTTAACAAAAGCGCCTTTCTCGGACTAAAACTACGGCGCTTTGATTTGCCAACTAACCATCCTGATCCTTAGTATGCATAAGACAGAAAGTCGCTCGTTTTGAGTGTGTGCACCATTTACCCCGGTTACTTATTTACATGCAGGATCAAAAATAGAGTTGAGCTAAATGTATGCCGCTATTTTGTGCCAATATTTAGCAGTTAAAGTGCGTTACAAACCTACTTCCAGCATCTTGCCCCCGTACGCGAGTGCAGTAATTGTGGAGCTGCACAGACTTGTCCATGGTGAGCTAGCATTGAGGTTCTTCTACCACAATGCGAGTACGCCTGCTTCCTCGCAACTGATTGCCCTGACCACCGAAATGTGCGGTGATGAAGAGACCTACTGGTGCCCACTGGACGTTCTAGAGGACCGGCTTCGCGGCAAAGCAGCAACAGACATGGAGAGCGCCTGCGTTACAGATGAGAACTCGCCCCCCACCACCGTCCTGGTAACCTCTGCACTTATCGCCTCCCTTGCCTTCGCCTACGCCCTTCCCATTGGCTACACGATTCGCGCACTCCTCTGCCTCATAGCCATTCTTTTAACTTACCGGTTCTTGTTCCTAATTTTGTAGACACATCATAGGATTTGAGTGCAGTGATTACGCAGTCCCACTTTTTGTCAGTGTACACATTTTCACAGAATTGTGATAAATCTGGTCAAGAATCTCTACCATCCCACGTAACATTTTCCAATTTGTGCAAAACAAGTTTGTTGTCCACCATTCGTGCCTCCATTAACATTTAGCCGGATTCCTTATGCACTTTTACTTTATTCAAGTAATGAAAGCGAGTAAGCGAGAAAGCAATATTTGTTTAAGTGGGACAATGCCGTGTCGGATCAGTGAGTTTGGGGAAGTCTCCTGGAATTTATATCAAAATGAGAGGTGGTTATTGTGCCTTCGAAACATCGACAGGGCAGGAGAGATACACTAGACGGAAACAGTCCACCGGAGGCCCGCATCATGTTGGACATCATCAGAAAGTCTCATGTTTTCTGCGGTGGTTAACTTCTCCTGGCGCCGTCGAACGGAAGCAGGATTCACGATGCCTCGAATAGCGGCCTCTTCACGCCTCCGTTTGGCCGCCTCGGCCTGCAAGCGCCGGCGCTCTTCGACACTGGGTTGGTGCCTATCGGCTTCGCTCGACTTCGAGAAGCAGCAGCCCATTAAACTGTAATTTGCCGGGACATTAGTGTTGCTGAGGTATTTCGTGCCTTAAGTTTGTTGTCAGAGAGTGGGTAGATTCAAAGGACGTAATCTGTGTGAGCAAAGTGCTCCTTTGGTCCTGTCATTTAAAAGTGATTACAATAACGCAGACATTTCAAAAGACTTGCGATTCCTAATGTTGTAAAATGTATGCAGAAACACTGATTAAAAGAAAACCACTTGAATAAGGCTGGAATCGTTCACAGACACTAACCATTGGGAAAAGGTTCAAAAACGGACAAGCAAGGTACCGCAGACAGTCGAATAGCAAGTAGAAGACAAACAGGTTTGGTAGCAGGTATTATTTGCAAAAAAAATCATTCATCCATTGACTCGTCTTTGTCATCTTCCTCCTCAGTTGTCTCACTTTCTGCGCCGTCGTCTTTTTCTCGAATACATCGAGGACATTTACAAACAAAGAGATAGTGTTCACGCAGATACTTTCTTCGAGAATGCACACCTCGTGACAGCATGCATTCGTCAAAGTAGCAGATGGTAACTTCTGTACCCGGATTACCAATGTCTTCATTCGCAACTATTGACAATTCGTTGGTGCCCAACTCGAAGCGCACGGAAGCGTTCGGTTCACAGGAATGATTAATCAGGCCTAAAATTTGCACTCGATCCCTGAATCGATTATGTTGGTACAGCGGAAACACGCAATCACTCATTTGGGAACCGAGAGTTAGGCCACCTTTTGTGGTAAGATGTTACATAACGTGTGAAATCTCCCACTGTATGACATAGATTAAGCATCTAGTATCATTGGAACCATTGATCATATCTATGATCAAATTTACCACATGCACAGCAAAATCTGAATGAAGGAAATTATCTTTGTACCAAAAATGGTTTTTCAAGAAGGAAAATAAATCGGGACAGAACGTTGTGTCGATAAAACCATTGAAACGTTATGGATCAAATGCCAACTCGGGTGTTTGTAAAAGTAGGTGACCAAAAATCAGTGCTACAATGTGTTTCTATGGAGTCGGGAAAAACATTTACCAGAGTAACAAAACCATTAATATCATTGACAAATAAAACGACTTAAATTACACTCACTCTGACGTTCATAAAGACCGACGCCCTCAACATCGAGAAAGTCACCAGCCGTTTCGTCAAGCTTTTCGTAAAGGGAATCGAGAAAGTCGGAGAACTGCCTTTTCTCCACTAGATTACCCCTACCTTCAATTATTTTCTCCGCAGCTTTACCCCAAGCACCCAAAGAGCTCGTTCCAATTCCCTGCCCATTGCGTCCGATCAGACACATGGCAGAGCTGAAGCCATATAACGAAAGCAATTGGCGCAATCCAATCTGCTGTAGCACATTCGACGCTTCATTTGGTGATATGAAAACGCCCGTTCTCTGAACCATCTCCCCCAAGACCTCCAAAAACAAGGCATGCAATCGTGCAAGATTACCCGAGAATTTTGGACCCATCATTATATGCGTCAGTGAAGTAGGAGAACAGCACGGATCATGCTCATTACTACTTGGTAGCTCAACAATGGGGGAAGAAACAAACCGAGAAAGCGCTGTGACAATATGCTGCGCTTGCTCACATTGGCAAAAATGAGCGCTAAAATGAGCCGCAGCGATCCTCACAAGGAGCATTATAGTTCCTGTTTCCGGTAACAAGTGCGACTCCCGCCACTCTTTTTCAAGTTGGAAAAATGGATTTTCTTGGCCACGGCAGCAGATAAAGAAATGGTATTCGCTTGCAGAGGCAGCACGGCAAGCCTCACTACAGTATTCAACCCCACAGGAAGAGCATTGAAAAGGCTGTACGAAAAAATGTCCATCACTTGCACCCGGGATGACTGGGAGGACAAAACTGTGGTCGCGCAAAAGTCTGCGAGCATTATCCTGTGGAGATTCCAAAGGTTTAAGACAGTAGTCACAACTTTTGTAGCCGTAAAATCGGTTCCATGACAACTGGCAGCATATAAGAGGTCTTTCCTCTAAAATGACCTCGTTCTCCACTAAAGGCCTGGTTGTAAATAGACCTCGTCCTTTTTCGGGACCAACATCAACTACTTCCACTGGTGCTCCCTCCATAAGCTAGTAGTCAGCAGATGGAAAAGTTAATGACCTGACAGAAAAATGATCACATAAGTTTGAAAACGCAATCCAATCATCCACTGAACGATCGAACTGGTTTTATTCATGCAAGGGAACTTAATCAAACCGGAGGAATGAGGCAATTTTAGTAGAACTACAAAAAAGGCTGCGGATTCAAGAATACAAAGGCCCTATCAAGCAAAGACTTAGGCCACTTTGTTGTTATTAAATGGCAATGGGGAAATGTGATGCCACAATAAGCAAACATACCAGTAAACGATACTCAGTGTCTCAAATTCAGCGTTTCTGAAGTTTCAAGGAACACCAGAAGTTACGAACGCCGCCCTTCCTTTTGACCACTAAAAGAGTGTAATTCAAAATGTCAGACAAAAGAGGAGCATGTTCGTAAGATTTGACACGAAAACCATGCTGAAATTTGCAATTTCTGCATTTCAGTCTGCAGTTCATGCATAGAGCGTTTACCAGTGTATGATGACTGCAAAAAGTCAAAACTGCTTTGTGAATATAAATTCCTTTTGCTTCACTCTAAAACTAAAATTAATAAACTTGACATAGTTTATGGAGGGCATGAGTCAACTCAACATTACCCCGAAAGTTTACCCTAAAATGAATGAATAAAGGCGTAAGCAAAGTAAAACTATTAAAAATGCAAATTCATTGTAGCGCCCCGAGACTCCCCTAAGACGAAAGAAGACACAATACTCGGGCAGAATATATATATTCAGCACGGAGGTGTCTGGGCTATTGGCATGGCCCAAAAGGCCAGCCCACCCAGCGAGGTACAGGGGGGCTAATTCGAAGCACAAAAGTTGCGCCTCACCAAGACCGAGGGATAAACCACTATCGTATTACATAGCCTCCTTCCTCTTTTGAGCGTCGTCCCCGGCGCTCCCGCAGGTCAACCTCCCGCGTCAGCCATTACAACGTAGTCGGTGCAGTAAAGAAACACCCACGAGCCAATCGTGCCAGTCACCAAATTAGCGCGCAACTAAGGGGATACTTGACCTCAACGTCACTGATCCCTCTTGGCAGCTTGACTGGGTCTGAAGTTTCGTCCGGTTTAGGGATTTCATTCAGGACGGGGAACTGCGTCGGCCATCATGCGTGTCCATAGAGAGATGCAGGAACACTGGCCTAAAAGCAGATTTGAATAAGGGAATACAAGATTTAAAACAGGCCCATGGGGGACGGTAGGGGAAATCCGTAACGAAACTTCCAGATGGTTCACGGCTAGTGCCGTTTCAGTTGCTAATAGCTTTTCTGCAGAACACGGGACTGGGGGAGATGCCGAAGGTAGACGTCAACGTCAACCCTTCTATTAGGGGTCATCACCATTCTCCCATCCGTAGCATAT